GGTTATGTCATCACTATAAGAAATGCAAATGAAAATATTCATTTTCCTCATAACCATATTGATAAAAATGCTGTTTAATATCTTGAGGGGTCCCAGTATTGACAGCCAGCAGAAAATACATTAAATTTAATCAATAGCTGGATGGACAAATAGGCAACAGGTCCAGCAGGTCCAACCGCCTGCTCAGGCAGGAAACCCTATACCATTTCAGACAAATGGCTGTCCAGTCTCTTCTTAAAGACTTCCAGTATTAGAGCATTCACAGCTTCTGGAGGCAGGTTGTTCCACTGGTTAATTGTTCTAACTGTCAGGAAGTTTCTCCTTAGTTCTAGGTTGCTTCTCTCCTTGCTTAGTTTCCACTCATTGCTCCTTGTCCTGCCTTCAGGCGCTTTGGAGAATAGCTTGACTCCCTCTTCTTTGGGGCAGCCCCTGAGATATTGGAAGGCTGCTATCATGTCCCCCCCCCCTCATCTTTCTCTTCATTAAACTAGACATACCCAATTTCAGCAACCATTCTTTGTATATTTTAGCCTCCAGTCCCCTAATCATCTTTGTTGCTCTTCTCTGCACTTTTTCTAAAGTCTCAACATCTTTTCTACATGGTAGTGACCAAAACTGGATGCCGTATTCCAAGTGTGGCCTTACCAAGGCCTTGTAAAGTGGTTGAAGACTTCCTGTGTTTTATTTATGGTTTATACTGTCTAGACCAGTGGTTCTCAACCTTTTTAATGCCGTGACCCCCAACCGGTCGTAAGTTGAGGACTACTCAACCGGTCATAAGTCGAGGACTACTCAACTGGTGCAGCACCATTTGCAGAATGGGACTTTTGGTGGGCTCAGCAGGGCAGAGACAGCCTGGACAATTCCTATTGGCTTTTGAAAGCCAATAGAATTAGACTCTATTCAAGAGAGTCTATTCTATTGGCTTTCAAAAGCCAATAGAATAAAAGGGAGTAGCACAGCTAAGGAAAAGGGGGGAAAAATGGCGAACTGCGTTGTTTGGCGACCCCCGTGAAATGGTCGTTCGACCCCAAATGGGGTCCCGACCCACAGGTTGAGAACCACTGATCTAGACCCTTCCATTTTAAGGAAAGTATTTTGATTATTCTGAGCTAATCCTTTCTGCCACTTTCCAATTAAGATAAAACGATAGCCTTTAATAAAATTGCTTCATTGCAGAGTATGAGAAAGTTAATCATCCTTCCAAGGACCCAGCCAGAATTTATATTTTCATTTAAACCTGTACGTTTATCACGCAACATTTCGCCAGGAAGTTGTGAACTCTATGTACAGTGTTAAGCTTCTTCGCTGAGATGTCAAATTAGTCTTTTTAATTTTGAATGTTATGTTCTTTGCAGGATTTATTGCCAAGGTTTCTAATTTGGGGTAGATTGTTGAGTAAAATAAAATGTCTGAGATGTTATTTGTCCAAAATGGTATAGGGTTTCCTGCCTGAGCAGGGGGTTGGACTAGATGACCTCCAAGATCCCTTCCAACTTTATTATTATTATTTGAAAGAAAGGTGCCATACCTTGTGCATAGCACTTTATTCAAGGGTTAACAAGAGTTATTTAAGAATGATTAAGTAAATGTAACAACAACGACAACAGAGTTGGAAGGGACGTTGGAGGTCTTCTAGTCCAACCCCCTGCTCAGGCAGGAAACCCTATAGCAGTGGTTCTCAACCTGTGGGTCGGGACCCCATTTGGGGTCGAACGACCATTTCACGGGGGTCGTCAAACAACGCAGTCTGCCATTTTTTCCCCCTTTTCCTTAGCTGTGCTACTCCCTTTTATTCTATTGGCTTTTGAAAGCCAATAGAATAGACCCTCTTGAATAGAGTCTAATTCTATTGGCTTTCAAAAGCCAATAGGAATTGTCCAGGCTGTCTCTGCCCTGCTGAGCCCGCCAAAAGTCCCATTCTGCAAACGGTGCTGCACCAGTTGAGTAATCCTCGACTTACGACCGGTTGAGTAGTCCTCAACTTACGACTGGTTGGGGGTCACGGCATTAAAAAGGTTGAGAACCATTGCCCTATAGCATTTCAGACAAATAGAGGGTATGGGGTTCTATGTTACTATAGAAAGCTTGATAAAAATAATTAAAAACCCTAAATGCTTTCACAAATAAGCACAGGAAACCTGAAATATTGCATCAGAATACATATCTTTCCAGACTGGCATCTGGTAATTTTTTATCTCGCCTCATTTAGACGCAAGTTTAAAATCCAGAATTTAGGAATTTAAGCATGCAACTCTAAGCTAGCTATGTTCGTAACTGCACCCCACGGCGATATTTTAAAGCAAGTTTTTCTAACACGTGGCTGGGTTTTAACTAACATTTCTGCTAAGTTACAGCCACACATATTCATGTTAGGCTGGCCTGGATATCATAACATCCTGTAGCGGTTTCTTGTAGAGTGGAAATGCTAATGATTTTGGAGCAACTAAGATCTTATTTTCAGGACCACGGAGAGCTCCGTTGGCAGACTCGCTTCCAATTGCCCTTTCTCTAAAAACCTGCAGGTCTGAAAACAGGCAGTGATAATTAGATATAAAAGAGGAAATGAATTAAGACCTCCCGTGAAGAGGATGTGAGGCTTCATTAATGAGTAGCCATGTCTTCTGCCAAGCAATAATTCAGCAGATGATTCGTGTGTGTGTGTGTGTGTGTGTGTGTGTGTGTGTGTGTGTGTGTGTTTCGTCTGGCAATAAACAACTCAGAAAGATCTTCTGCCTCTCTGCGTGGTTGCAAATAAAGGCTTCAATCTCTAAAGAGGTTTTTGCCAAAGGAATCAGAAGCCTCTCCCCCCCCATCCTTATTGTTTTTCTTTTAAGAAGTGGGCTACTTGCCAATTTTCTTGGGACGCTGTGTACATCTACCGCAAATTCTAAGCTTTACAGGACCAAATCTCCTCTCCTGCTACATTTCAACTGAGCAATGAACACAGTAATAATAATAATAATAATCATGATCATCATCATCATCATCATCATCCACATCTGTCTATCCCAGGTCCTGGGTAAGGACTCGATAGGTAAACAAAATGCCAAATCCAGTCTGAACATCTGGTTGACTGTGCTATGATCCATAATAATAATAATAATAATAATAATAATAATAATAATGATGATGATGATGATAATAATAGTAATAAAAGAAACCCAGAAAGGTAGGAATGTCTTCCATCATCAGGCAGGCTGAAGAGCAACATAATTTAATGAATTTTTTCACTCAAGGGCGAAGTAAAATGGGAGTAGGGCAAGCAACAAGGAGGCACCTACTTACGCTCACTGGAAATAGAAGATTAAATATGCTTGCATCACGTAACGTGTTCTTAGGCTTGCAAAAGATTTCAGAACTCATTTAATCTGTTTTTTTTCCCCTTTAAATGGTTCTAGTGTGCAAGATCTTAAAGAGGGAAGCACTCAAGTCAACAACATTTTCTTTCAGAATTATTTTGCTAAGCTCCTAATCGGAGGACGAAAGACAGACTTTGAATCCCCTTTTTGGAAAGCGCTAATTGACACAGCTAGCAAAGTGGAACAGGAAGACAAAGTCTTCCGCTTTAAAAAAAAATACAATGTTAGCTCCCAAGGCGAAACCTGCTCCCTTTGCACAAGTGCCTCATAGATGTGGATGCTGCGGGTCACAGTTCTTGAAGTATTGTGTTGAAACTTAAGAGGGTCTTCCTTCAAATGAAATCTATCACACAGCGTTCAAGACATCCCCACTTCCTACAGAAGACTGAAACAGAACATTTTACTGAATCTCTCTGAGAGGTGAAAGGCAAAGAGGTCAATTTTACTTTCTTTCTTTCTTTCTTTCTTTCTTTCTTTCTTTCTTTCTTTCTTTCTTTCTTTCTTTCTTTCTTTCTTTCTTTCTTTTTCTTTTTTCTTTTTTCTTTCTTTCTCTGTCTCTTTTTTCTTTCTCTTTCTCTGTCTCTTTTCTTTCTCTTTTTCTTTCTGTCTGTCTCTTTCTTTCTTTCTCTTTCTCTCTCTCTTTCTTTCTCTCTCTGTCATTCTTCGGTCTCTTTCTTTCTTTCTTTCTTTTTTCTTTCTTTTTGTCTTTCTTTCTCTGTCTCTTTCTCTTTCTTTCTTTTTCTTTTTTCTTTCTATCTTTCTCTGTCTCTTTTCTTTCTGTCTGTCTCTTTTCTTTCTCTTTCTTTCTTTCTTTCTTTCTGTCTTTTTCTTTCTTTCTTTCTCTCTCTCTCTTCTGTCTTTCTCTTTCTTTCTTTTTCTTTGTCTTTCTTTTTTCTTTCTTTCATTCCTCCCTCCCTCTCTCCCTTCTTTAAATTCCCTCCCTCCCTCCTTTAAATTAGGCAAAAATAGCACCTTCTAGTCACCGCTCTCTTAGTTGCCAGAAAACGCAGCATTTTTTTAAACCTAGGGCAAATAAGATGGGCTTCAGGCCTTAAGGTGCCTCCAGAGAAATCAACTTTTTCTGGTGTTTTTTTTAAAACGTCTTCTTAAAGAGGGGTGGGGGAGAGAGAAAGAGGCTTTTCCAGACAAAACAGACAGCCCGAAACTTTGCACAGACCTCCTTAAACACCCCTCCCTTCTCCCCAGGCTGCCCACCCTGCCCTCTTTTAAACCCGGCTTCAGGCCTGGGGCAGTGGTCCTCACCCACCCAGCCACCCTTTCCTGTCACAGCAGCGATTAGATTAAATTCGAAACGAGATTAGACCGTCTAATCTAATATATAGGAGGCCCCGCTAGGAAGCTGGTCCGGACTTCTTTCCCCACGACCTCTTCTCGCCTACATTCAAGACGGCGTCCCAGTCCCCGCCAGCCTGCCCGGGTCTCCCAGACACCCCCCTCCCTCCTCCTCCCTCAGGTGGGATTCCGGGTGTGGTGGGAAGGCGGCCCACTTTGCAAGCTCGACCCCGAATCTCGGCTTGCCCCCCCCTCCCCTCCCCTCTTTGAGTCCGGCCAAAGGCGCAGCTCCAAGGCGATGCAAGCAAGCACGCGAGCGAGGCTGCCCGGCCACCCCAGCCTCACCTTCGGGGTTGGCGCTGACGAAGACCCGCACGCGTCGACCGCTGGGCGCCAGGTGCAAAGGCAGAGCCGAGAGGTTGCCGGAGAACGCCGCCTTCCGCAGGGCCGAGTCCCGAGGAGCCGGCAGCTTGCCGGCCGTGCCAGCCGGCCACATGGTGCAGCTGCGGCCGCTGCTCCTTCCTTCCTTCCTTCCTTCTTCTTTCCTTCCTTCTTTTCTCTCTTCTTTCCTTCCTTCCTTCCTTCCTTCCTTCCTTCCTTCCTTCCTTCCTTCCTTCCTTCCTTCCTTCCTTCCTTCCTTCCCTTCTCCTCCGCCCTGGCTGTCCTTTTGCACAAGGGCGACGCCGCTTCGGCTCCTCGGCCTGTCTCCACCCCCGCCCGCTTCTCTCCTTTGCTCGCCGAGCGGCAGCCCCTGGAGACGGAGCGGAGAGAAAAGTTGGCGGGCTTAGCTGCCGGCCCTCAAGGAGGGCATCGCCGCGGGCGCCGGCTTGGGCTTCCAGCGCCGGCTTGGGCTTCTTTGCCCCCGCCAACTTCGCCTCCTGGGCGCCGGCTCTTAAAGGCGAGCCTCGGCGCGCCGCTCCCACGGTTTTACGCACGCTCGCGGCGGGGTGGGGGGGGGGAAGGAAAGCGTCGTCGTAGAGGGGAGACCACGCAGAGATCCCAGCCTAGGCGCCGGCTCTTAAAGGCAAAGCCTCGGCACGCCGCTCCCACGGTTTTACGCACGCTCCGGGCGCGGCGGCGGGGGGGGGGGGAGGAGAAAGGCGTCGTCGTAGAGGGGAGACCACGCAGAGATCCCAGCCTGGGCGCCGGCTCTTAAAGGCAAAGCCTCGGCGCGCCGCTCCCACGATTTTACGCACGCTCCGGGCGCGGCGTCACGGGGGGGGGGGGCTGGAGGGGAGACCACGCGGAGATTCCCCCAGAACTTGACCAGCCGGGCAAGCCTCCGCGGTCACGCCATCGCTGGGCTCTTGCCAAGAAACGACACGGGTGGGGTGCCGCGTAGGTTTCTCTCTCTCCTCCCCCCCCCCCGAAGGGACTTTTCCTCCTCTTAAAAGCCTCTTCGTCGTTCTCCTGGCTTCTCTTGGAAGTTGTTGCGGAGTTGCCACCCTTTATAGTCTTGGACGGAGGTGGTGTTGTTTTACCCAAATTTGTAAAAGAAAGCCTTCCTGTCTCTTTGCAATGAAGGAAGGGAAGAAGAAGAAGAAGAAGAAGAAGAAGAAGAAGAAGAAGAAGAAGAAGAAGAAGAAGAAGAAGAAGAAGAAGAAGAAGAAGAAGAAGAAGAAGAAGAAGAAAAGGAGGAGGAGGAGGGGGGGCAGCTGGGATGAAATATTCAGAAAGGTGGGTCCGGACGCCTGGCCGAGCTAGCCTCCCCCACCAGCCAATGCGCCTGCTTGCACTTGCAGGCGTTCCCTCCAGGGGGCGGGCTTGCTGTCTGGAGCAAAGAGGCAGGCAACGGCTGGTCTATGTGAGTGAGTGAGTGAGTGTGTGTGTGTGTCCCTCTGCGGGAGTGGGGGGGAGGGGCGGCGAGCCGGAACCCCCGGTTTTTCAACTGGAGAGGAGAGTCTTGAACTGCTGCTGCTGCTGCTGCCTCTGCGGCGTCTTTAGGCTAAGGGAACCGGAGCATCCTACCCGAGATGAAGGGAGACGGGGCGCTTCCCAGCGCCTGGTGGCAGCGGAAAGTCACACAATCCCAGCTCCAGGATCAGTCAAGGTTGGGGTGGGGTGGGGGGGGGGAGAGAGAGAGAGAGTGCGGGTCCCGACGAGTTGGCTTCCCAGAAGGAAGGGACGCATAGAATCCTGGGGCTGGATGGGACCTTGGAGATGTTCTAGTCCAACCCCTTTCCCAAGGCAGAGAATGGAATGGAATGGCATGGCATGGCATGGCATGGAATGGCATGGCATGGCATAGAATGGAATAGAATAGAATAGAAAATATGGAGTGGATTTGAATGGAATGGAATGAAATGAAATGAAATGGAATAGAATAGAATAGAATAGAATAGAATAGAATAGAATAGAATAGAAAATATGGAGTGGATTGGAATGGAATGGAATAGAATAGAATAGAAAATATGGAGTGGATTGGAATGGAATGGAATGGAATAGAATAGAATAAAATAGAATAGAATAGAATAGAATAGAATAGAATAGAATAGGAAATGTGGAATGGAATGGAATAGAAAATAGAATAGAACAGAATAGAATAGGAAATATGGAATGGAATGGAATAGAAAATAGAATAGAATAGGAAATACGGAATGGAATAGAAAATAGAATAGAATAGAATAGAGTAGAATAGGAAATATGGAATGGAATATAGAATAGAATAGAATAGAATAGAATAATAGAATGTAGAAGAGAATGGCACGGAACAGAACAGAACAGAATAGACTAATGGAATGTAGAATAGAATAGAATAGAATAATAGAATGTAGAATAGAATAGAATAGAATAGAATAGAATTCTTTATTGGCCAAGTGTAATTGGACACATAAGGAATTTGTCTCCGGTGCACAAATTCTCATTGATACGGTGCCACCAAAACATGTTTAGGCGACAATATCAAATGTTATTACTGTAAGTGACCTGAAAGCATGTTAGGCCACCTAACATGGATGCTGGAATCAGACAAATGTTGGCTTTTGCCCATCCTACAATATCACAAAATCTGTTTTTCATTAAAATGTCGACTGGTTTAATTTGAAAAAGCAAGAATGGGGTGAATTAAAGCAGGGTTTCTTAATCTTGGCAGCGTTAAGATGTGTGGAAGATCATGTGAAGTGTTAATAACACTTTACAAGGCCTTGGTAAGGCCACACTTGGAATACTGCATCCAGTTTTGGTCACCACAGTGTAAAAAGATGTTGAGACTCTAGAAAGAGTGCAGAGCAGAGCAACAAAGATGATTAGGGGACTGGAAGCTAAAACATATAAGGAACGGCTGCTGGAATTGGATATGTCTAGTTTAATGAAGAGAAGGATGAAGGGGGACATGATAGCTGTGTTCCAATATCTCAGGGGCTGCCCCAAAGAAGAGGGAGTCAAGCTATTCTCCAAAGCGCCTGAAGGAAGGACAAGAAGCAACGGATGGAAACTAATCAAGGAGAGAAGCAACCTGGAACTAAGGAGGAATTTCTTGACAGTGGGAACAATTAATCAGTAGAACAACCTGACTCCAGAAGTTGTGAATGCTCCAATACTGGAAGTTTTTAAGAAGAGATTGGACAACCATTTGTGTGAAATGGCATAGGGTTCCTGCCTGAGCAGGGAGTTGGACTAGATGACCTCCAAGGTCCCTTCCAAGTCCGTTTATTCTGTTATTCAACTCCCTAACCAACCATATCTACCTGTCTTAACATTGCTACGGTTAGAAATGCTACATTAGATCAAATACAAGTATTTGGAGCATTAGAATTAGCCCATGGCTTCCTTACACATACATAAAGGAAAAATAATAATACTAATACAAATATTCAAAATGTTGCAGAACACCTCGGGTTAGCTTTGTGCTCTGTTCTGAGTAAATGCACACACCTCTAGTCACGACAATAGAGTTCTTTTTTTCCAAATATTTCTTGAGGCAGTATGGAGTTCAGTGACATTCAGGGAAATAGTAGGTTATTTGTTAGGCCTTTTGCTTTGCAGCAGACCAGCTCTCTCTCTATTTTTTTAAAAATAATTTTATTTTAAAAATATGTTTTTTTTAAAAGAAAATTAAGTAGGGGAAGGAGACTAAAAAATGTCCAGAGAAAGTTCTTATCTGCTTACCTCTATGTGTTATTTGTCAAATATAGGCTACATAATTTCCAGAAACGTTTGTCAAATACAGTATTAGATAATTAAATATAACACATGGAAATGTCTCGTGCCCTTGGCAGCCACATGAAAGTGGATGCTTTTTTAATATCTCAGTTTAATGGCCCCAAACTTCATAGTGGTCTCTATCCAAGTACTAAGCAGGCCTTAGACTGAAAGATTGAAAACGTTTAGAAAAAAGTCACCATAAATTAAGCATGACTTGGAACAGAATTTTCTCCCCTTAAATATTAATGTTATGTAAGCTATCCCTTAGACATAAGGGTTGGCAGAAGTATTTTTTTTAATATTACAACATCTGTAAAGTTTAATGTATCAGATAGATAGATAGATAGATAGATAGATAGATAGATAGATAGATAGACAGACAGACAGACAGACAGACAGATGGGAAGATGGGTAGATGGGTAGATGGATGGATGGTTAGATAGATGGATAGATGGATAGATGATAGAAGATAGATAAGATAGATAGATAGACAGACAGAGAAAGATTAGAGATAAAGAGAAAGATTAGAGATAGAGACAAAGAAATAGAGAAATGGAGAGTTGGTAGATAAATGATAGACAGATAGATGATAGAGATAGATGAGACAGATAGATATAGATGACAGATAGAAATAGATGGCAGAGACATAGACAGATGATAGACAGACAGACAGACAGGTAGATGGGTAGATGGTAGATGGATGGATAGATAGATGGATAGATAGATGGATAGATGGATAGATGATAGAAGATAGATAGATAGATAGATAGATAGATAAGATAGATAGATAGACAGACAGAGAAAGATTAGAGATAAAGAGAAAGGTTAGAGATAGAGACAAAGAAATTGAGAAATGGAAAGAGAGTTGGTAGATAAATGATAGATAGATAGATGATAGAGATAGATGAGACAGATAGATATAGATGACAGATAGAAATAGATGGCAGAGACATAGACAGATGATAGATAGATAGATAGATAGATAGATAGACAGACAGACAGACAGATAAATAGACAGATAGACAGCTAGCTAGATAGCTAGACAGACAGACAGGCTGGCAGGCATACACAGATAGACAGAGAACAGACAGACAGATAGAGATGGATAGATCTCATGTCTTTTTCACTACTTAATTTGGAAAAATTCCCAGTAAATAATGACTAATTATAGGCTTCTAGATGCCCTTGTCCTGAGAATTGCTGAAAGGGAGGGATCCTCAACATTAACCCCAAACTGGCTTTGATCATGGCTTAGTTTTCATTATGGCAGACTATCTGATCATTTGGTGGTTAGTTGAATGTTCTCCTAAAGAAGCTAGGCGAAGAAAAAAAATCATTGTACTTTTTTAACGTTCTAAATGGCTAAGTCGTATCCTTATTTTTACATTCAATCTCTTTCCTCACTGCCAACATCTGGTATTTATTTAGCCAACATTAAGG